CCTTTCTTAGGGCTCAGTCTGTTGTGCTGTTTCTGTCCAAGGCATAAGCAGACTAACTATGATTCATACAGCAGTGTTGCAGCAAGGGAGATACAGGTGCTCTAGTAGGAGCTACCAGTTGAGCCTTTTCTCCAGTGCTGCTTCTCCAGGGCCTGCCCAGCGTCAGGGAGGTTAAATACAAGGAGAGCAGAAGGCACTGTGGTGTCTGCAGAGGAGTGAGCTGGACACAGTGCGGGTAAGTAATGCAGAGCTACAGTGGCTTTCTATCACCCCTCTGCCTTGCTGCAGTTGTTTGCATCAGGAGTCAAGAAGCTTTTAGCCTCAGGTATTCCACTGCCAAATTTTGTCTGGTTGCCACCCCTACCTGTGCAAAGGGGGTTCATTGGGCTTTTCTTCTGACCTGAGTCCTAAGCCCTAGAGAACCTGCATTGAACACTGCTAAAATATCATACCTAGCTTGTGCCCAAATCATAAGCGCTAGTGGTGGAGTGTTTTAGGTATGACCTCCATTCTGGGGCAGTGTGAGGTCCTGCCTGTAGGGTTTTCTAACCATAACAGAGCAGACTGCTCTAACTCAAAGACATGGTAGCAACCATGCTTTAGGTTCACGAACACCTTGTATTTGTAATGAATTCATGGATCCTGCCAGCTCTCCCTGCTCAAACAAGCCATCTGCAAGAACAAATCCTAGAAAGTATGAAGCGGTGCACAAGCAATTGGATGAGTCTTTTTCAAGCTCAGAAGTGTCCCTCTTTGTACTCTTCCAGCCCCCCCTTCCCTGAAGCTGTCCATCAATGAGACGCTGGTGGTCAACCCTGGTGACAACATCACTATGCAGTGCTCTCTGACGGGTGGTGACCCACAGCCAGAGGTGGTTTGGTCTCACTCTCCTGGCCCAATGCCTCCCAATAGCCTTGTGCAAGGAGGCAACCTCACCATCTGGAGGATCCGCGTGGAGGACTCAGGCTACTACAATTGCACGGCCATCAACAACGTGGGGAACCCAGCAAAGAAGACAGTGAACCTGCTGGTGCGCTGTGAGTTGCTCTTTTTCTCAGAGCATGGGTTATCAAGGTGGAGGGGCTAGATTTGCATTTCTCCTGGCTGTTCTTGTACAGCTGAGGGTAAATGTGATAGTTAGCAGTGATTAGTAGTCTGGAGAAGTGCCTGTGCAAGCTTCTCTGCTTCCAGATCAACAGCTGTGCTAGCACTGCTTGCAGCCTCATCCTGGGCTGCAGCACTGTCCTGGACTGGAAAAAGATCCTAGACTGTCAGATGTGAAGCCCTGGGAATTATTTTGTGAGAATGTGACTGGGGGAGGTCTTGGGACAGATTTTGCATGGAGATGTTGCCTTCCTGAGGATCAAAAAGCCATTGTCCTGTCCCATGCAAGATGCTTTGCTGTCCCTAACCAGTTTTGCACTTGTGTTCATCCCAGCCATGAAGAATGCCACGTTCCAAATCACCCCCGATGTGATCAAAGAGAGTGAGACCATCCAGTTAGGGCAGGACTTGAAGCTCTCATGCCATGTAGATGCTGTCCCCCAGGAGAAGGTTGTTTATTCCTGGTACAAGAATGGGAAACCAGCCAGATTCTCAGACCGGTTGCTCATCACCCGGAATGACCCTGAGCTCCCACCTGTGACCTGCAGCCTGGAGATTATTGACCTGAGATTCAGTGACTATGGCACCTACCTGTGCGTGGCTACCTTCCAGGGAGCACCCATTCCTGACCTCAGTGTGGAGGTGAACATCTCCTCAGAGACAGGTGAGCCTCTCTGTTGCAACTGGGGACCTTAGAGGAGCGGTTGGCATCACTAGCTGCCCCCCACTCCCATGCCTCTGGCTTTTTTTTGAAGGACTTCACATGAGTGTCCTGGATCCCAGTGGGGAAAAGTCTCACATCCTCAGGCAAGCATTTGGCTGAGACTGGAGACGGGTGGTAGTTACAACTCCTCTGCCAGATGTGTTATGCAGCAAGCAGATCTTCCCATATGTTTTATCCCTATGAAAAGTTCAAAGTGCAGTCCAGTCAAAGCTACAGAGACAGGTTTAGGCTGTGATTGTTCAAAGAAGCCTCCAAATTGTGAATGAAGAAAGAGCAGGTGGTATTTCACCAAATTTCAAACATGCCTTTGCTTATAAGTGAGTCAAAGAGAAAGCAAGCTGCTCTTTCCTCTCTTTGGCATTGCTTATGAGGAATGTCCCTGTTTTCAGAGCTGCGGCCAGGAGATTGGTATCATCTGTCATAGCAAATTCTGTGAAGAGCTTTAATGTTTACTGGATTGCAACTGCAATCTGTCTTGGGAACTCTCTGTAGGAGTCCAATTATTATAAATGTCTCCCCTCTTTAAAATTGGGGTCAAAGCTTCACCCCAAGGCTTGGTGAGGACAGGACTAATCCATAAGTGAGTTTGTCAGTCACCTTGGGGACTGAAATATAGGGTCTCAGGGCTGCCTTTTTGTTTCTGGGGAGGTGGTGAGTATAGCTCTACCCTCTATTACATCCATGTCATCTTGCTGCCATTCCAGGACCTTGAGGGTACAGCACAAAGCAGCATTGGGCTAGTAAGCTGGTGAGGACTCCCATGGGGAGCCAGCTGACCACAGATTTTATCCTGAACTTCACAGAAAGTTTCATCTCAATCCCTGGTTGTGCTGGATCCATTGGCCTGGCTGGTCCCAGTCTTGATTCTGAACGTCACTCACTCCAGTCCTGCAGCAGAAAGTGCTCCAACTGCTTTTGATGCTTTGGGAAGTCTCTGTCTGCCAGCAGAAATGCTGGGGCCAGCCTGCTCCCAACAGGACTGCACCCCGTGCTCATTAGCAGCCTGAAGATCAAGCCCTGACCATGCTATGGACCCACTAAACACCGAAGGGTGATGCTGGCAGCCCTGGAAAGTAGGGTCCCCTCCGTGCCAGCAGACACCAACCCTGTTGTACCAGCAGGGAACAAAGCTAGGGGAACCCCCAAACGCTGGTGCAAAGCTGGCTCTTCCAACCTTGTGTGGCTGCTGATGCCAGGAGCATCTTTTTTGCCCAAGATCACTAGGTGGCAGAGTGCAGTTGTGTTTAAGACTGCAAGGGCAGGAGGCTGCGAAGGGCTGGGAGTCTCTGGATGGTCCCACCAAAAGTCTGGGCAGTGTCTGTTGACGCAGGTATTGGGCCAAGCACCAGTCGGTTGCTGCCTTAAAGGAGGTGTCTGCAGTGGCAGGTTGCCCCGTGCTCTGGCCTGTCCAGTCGAGACATGCTTGTGTAGATACTGCTGATGGGGAAGGGCAGGAGGGCAGCCTGGGGCATTGTGAAGCCTCTCTCTGGCAGCCTGGGCCAGCAGGACCCCTTTGTGACCCAGGGAGTGGAAACAGCCATCCCTGCTGGAGCAGTCCCCCATGCAGCAGCCGAGGCTGTCCAGCTAGCGGCATTCCCACGAACAGCAACGACCCACCTCCAACATGTGGTTCCCACATAAAATCCCAGCAGGTTTTCCCCAGAGCGCAGGATCAGAGTGGGAGGGTGGCAGTGGTGGCTCCATGTTTCCCCATTGAGCAAAGCCCGAGCTTGCCAAGGTGGCTGCCTCCACTGTGTGGCTCCGAGGAGATGGCTTTAATTAAAAAAAAATCTTCAAATGCAATTTACAGCTTTTCCCTGTGGAGAAAATTGCCAGGTGAGCAGCTGCCGGCAGTGTCGGGTGCCAAGAGTGCTGTCATCCCTTTGCGCTGTGTGGGACAGGGTGTGATGAGATTCCTCAGTTCACAGGAGACCTGCAAATTGAAAATGTGTCCTCCCTGTTGCATAGGGAGGTCACTGCAGAGGGAGATTGGGCTGGAGCCATCCTAAATTTGCTCATAAAGCAGCTGTAGGCTGTAACGTGTGCAATTACTGTAGCACATTCTCCTTTGCTGGAGCTGAATTGAGTTAACGTTGGTGAGACCAGCTTGTTACAGCCTCCGTAGTTCTAAACTTTGATTTAATGGCAACAGAGTACATGGCCCTTGCAGTTACGGAAGTGTCAATCCAA